TTTGTTTTTTTGGGGGTTTTTAAAAGGGAAATTTTCCCCTTGGGGGGGAAAGTTATTTTAAAATTTTTTTTTTTAAAAAAATTTTTTTTTTTTAAAAAAAAAAAAAGGGGGTTTTTTTTTTTTTAAAAAGGGGGGGGGGAAAAACCCCGGTTTTTTGGGGAAAAAAAAGGGTTTTTAAAAAATTAAACCTTTAAAAAAAAAAATAAGGGGGGCGGGGTTTTGGGGGACCCCCAAAATTTTAAAATTTTTTTCCTTCCCCAAAAAACCCCCCCAAATTTTTTTCAAAAAAAAAAATTTAAAAAATTTTTAATTCAAAACAAAGGGAAATTTTTCCCAAAAAAAAAATTTAAAAAATTCCCGGAAAAAAAAAAAAAAAATTTTTTAAAAAGGAAAAAAACCCCCCCAAAAAAATTTTCCGTAAAACCCCCCCCAAAAAAGTTTAAAAACCCCCCCAAAAAAATTTTTGGGAAATTTTTTAAACCCCCAAAAAAATTTTAAAAATTTTCCCCCAAAAACCCCCCCCCCCCCCCAAAAAAAAAACAAAAACCCCCTTTTTTTAACCAAAAAGAAAAAAAATAAAAAAAAAAAAAAAAAAAAGGGGGAAAAATTTTTTTTTGGGGGAAATTTAATTTTTTAAAAAAAAAAGGGGGAAAAAAAAATTTTTGTTGGGAAAAAAATTTTTCCCGGTTTTTTTAAAAAAGGGGGGTTTGGGGTTTTTTTAAAAATTTTTTTTTCCCAAAACCAAAAAATTTTTTTTTTAAAAAATTTTTTTTTTTTAAAAACCCCCTTTTGGCCCCCCTTTTTCCCCCCCTTTTTTTTCCCCCCCCCCGCCCAAATTCCCCCTTTTCCCCCCCCCCCCCCCCCCCCCCCCCAAAACCCCCCCCCCCCCCCTCCCCCCCCCGTTTTTTAAAAACCCCCCCAAAAATTAAAAAAAAAAAAAAATTAAAATTTATTTTTAAAATTTTAAACCAAAACCCCCATTTTTTTCCCCCAAGGAAGAAAAACGGTAAAAAAAATGCGAACCCCTTTCCTTAATGGGGGGGGCCCCCCCCTTTAAACCCCGGGGGGAAAAAAAAACCCCTCCGGTATACCAAGGTACCCCCCCAACCCAAAAATTTTTCCCCTTTTCCCCCTTTGGAATTTTTTAAAATTTAAAAAAAATCGCCCCCCCACGTCAAAATTTTCCAAAATTAAAAAAAATTCTCCCAAACAAAAATTTGTTAAATTTCTCCCAAAAAACAAGCTAAATTCACAAAATATAAATTCCCAAATTTCCCCTCTCCCCCCCAAAAAAGAACCATAAATTCCCCAAACTTAAAATTTTAAATTTCTCCAAACCAAACAACTAAATTCCACAAAATAAAAGTATCCAAATTCCCTCCCCCCCCCAAATAAAAGAATTTAACAAAAAGCCCCAAATTTAGAAAATATTCCATGAATTTCTCGAGTAAAACAACGTAAGAGGAAAAAAAAAACAGTAATTTTAGTAAGTGATAATTAAGGTAAGGGGTGGAGGGAAGGATGAGGTGGCGAGCAGTCATACTGCAACATGCACTGGCTAATGTAATTTAAAAGTGAGTGTGGGCTGTTTTAGCAACCTGCTAAAGTATCTGGGTGGCATGATTGTCTTATATCATACAGGGAAAGGGAGGGAACTGGTGTAAGTTCCTTCTTATCTCTCTCTCTCTCTCTTAAATTATACACAGATACAGTCCCACTCCCATTAAAGTCATCATTAAAATTAGCAGTATTGGAATCATCCAGTGCCCTAGTGCCTCCCTCTCTCCTCCTCTTCTCTCTCCTTCTCCTCTCTCCTCTTTTCTCCTCTCTCTCTCCTCCCCTCTCTCTCTTTCCCCTTTCTTTCCGTCGAGGTGACTAATTCTTCCATTAAAACAGTAGAACTAAAGGTTTTTCCCCCTTTAACAAGGTCGTCATCATTCCGTTTTCCTCTTCATCCACTCGGACATGAATCCACTTCCTTTTTTTAGTCTCGTCCCTCTTGCCCAGTTGCTTTTATTTACATTTTGGGTCTGAAGCGAGAGTCTGGCTTCACTTTCACTTTTTAAACTCATCTAACCAGAATGTTTTTTTAACATATATGGAGAGGGGTAGACAGCTTAGTTATATATATTATATATATATATATATATATATATATTATATATATATATATATAATATATGTTATATATATATATATGTAAAATATATAATGGACATGTGAAGGAAGAAGGTGCAGATATACTAACTCACTCCCTCCCCCTCAAAATATAACTTGTTTCAGAAAGCTACAAACAACTTTCACTAACACTGTAACTACCTCTCAGTATAACCTGAAAATCGGTAGTTTTCCTTCCTTACGTCTCTAGTAGTACTGTAGTTACTCACATCTGTAATAGTCAGTCACTTCTGTAGTGGTTCATGTTGTTTAATTCTGTAGTAGGTAAATCTGTAGTAGTAATTCTGTTTTTTCGTGTAGAATTTACATCGCTTCGTTGTTATTAATTCAAATTTAATGAAAATATTTTATTTTTATTTTTGCAGTTCATGTTTTGTGAATTCGGATATTTTTTTTTTTTTTTTGGCGATATATTTAGTTATTTCCTAAGTCTCTTAATTTTTATTCTACTTGTTGACAGAGGGGAAATATTATATAACCTCCAATTATGAGAGAAAATAATTGTGAAGAATGTGTGAGACATGCGTGCAGTTACATGGATGTTGTGTTAACAACGTTTCGCCCATGCAGGGAGGTTTTATCAAGTCACAAACAGATAAACCTGTTGTGAGTCTATTTCTCATCTTGTTCTTATAAAATACTATGACCTTCCCAGCTTGTCTGAAGAATGTTGCTGAAGGAGACAATAAGTTAGTGTTTTGATGTACCTTCCCCTTGTATCAAACTTCATTACCTCCCATTCCACGGGCGTTGTTTGTTACAGCTTCGGTAATAAAACTAGTCATTCTTTGCTAATTTTGCATCAGCGAGTACGAAAATGATGCTTACAGTTGCTAATTGACTCTATTTAAAAATGTGGACTCAGGCTGCGTAAACTGTACAGGGGAAAAGTTCTGCATTCAAACCCACAATACGGAATTATTAAAAAGTACATTTCCCTATATATCTCATCATTTTTTTTCTTTTTTTTCCTGTTTTGGAGGGGGCGGGGGTAATGGGGACAGACTTGTACCGATTCGACCACCAGTTGGTCAGCTTACTCTGATTTAGGCAGTGTTTGTTTAGCAGCACTGCCGGAAAACGGATGATTCTCTGGAAATTCAGGGGTTACATCTGGGATCCTCTTCAGCTCTCCTGAAGAGGATCCCAGAAAAGGGTCGGAATATACACATCAATCAATCTCCTGAGATTTTGTCAAAATGTGGGATATATTTGAGAATCTTACTGTATCTCAATATACCAGAGCTGATAGTTATAGGGAGCCAGGAAAAAAAATCTGCTGATGTCCTATCAAAAAATTGAACTGCAAGATGTCGACAGATACATTTCCTTCATTCGCACTCAGATCATTTTTCCGGCCAACTGTGATGAACGTTTCCACCAGGACATTACAGAAACACTACCAGGAAAAATGGAGTCCGTCAGTGTTAGCAGGTTACTGGTGGACAGTGACAAGAGCTGCATCACAAGTGGCACAGAAAAGACAAGAAAAGAAGCCTCGGTCTGAATAAATATAAGCGAATTCATTATTCCAGGTTTTTTAATAATATAGGCAAAATATGCAAATAAATTCCCCTGGAAATATTATCCAACTGATTATTATTATTATTATTATTATTATTATTATTATTATTATTATTATTATTATTAAAATTATGATCATATTCGTTTTAAGACCGTAAAAACTTTAAACCGAAATATCTTCTTTTTTTCGAAGCACAAAATTGTACAAAATTTGTAGAACAGTGACCCCTGAGAGGTTTAATTTCTTGAATATGATTTGTTGGTTAAGGTGGGTTTAAAGCCTATCGACTACATGGGAAAGGTTACAAGTAATGTGTTTACTACCAATCTAGCATATTTAAACTCTTAAAATAGGGACTAAAATAAACTTTCAAGTGCATGTATACACTGAGAGATATACGTACACATTGCTGTGTATGTATCCTATGTCCCTGGGTATACCCCCTTTTCCCTGTAACCCCCTACCAAGTTGTCGAATACCCCTCATGTTCCTCAATCCCCAACCTCTCCACTCCCCAATACTCCAACCTCTCCACTCCCCAATACCCCCACTTCCCAGGTGTTTCAACACTTCCCTCCCATATTCTACTCGTCTACCACCGCAAGTAGTGTCATAAACAGGTCAATCCTCTCCACAGTGTTTACACTTTTCTCTGCTGTCAGTGACTGGGTTTAGATTTTTTCGATGCCAGTGATTAAAAAAGCCACATTCCCTTATTATTATTAAATTTTTATTTTTTAAATTTTTATTATTATTATTATTATTATTATTATTATTATTATTATTGTTATTATTATTATATGAATATTGGAAATGGACTTCAGTTTACTGGGTGCAGTGTGAAGTGGAAGACGAGAAGAAGGAAGGAAGAAAAAAGATGAAAGGAATTAAGGGGGAAGAGGGAGACAAGAAAAGAAAGGTAGTAGAGAGAGGGAGGGAAACAATGTGACCTGACTTACCTACTACCTGAGGTCATTCGACATAACATAGCTACTGCTTTCAGCTTGACGGTCAGGTCGCCTAACCAAGACCTAATTACTTTGCAACCTGACTCTGACCTAATTACTTTAGGGTCCCTGAGGTCTTGTGACTTAATTATTTTATAAACTGTAACTTGTTCGTTTTTAAGTTTTTTCTCTTAAAGTTTCTGCAGACAATGACTTTCCCGGGCTGAGACCCAAATATGAAATTATATATTATATATATATTATAATATATATATATATATATATATATATATTTTTATTAATATTATATATATTTTATATATATATATAATATATATATATATTCCCTGTATAGAAATCAGTGCGTATGAAGTGGGCGGCGGGAGATGTGTTCTGTCATGTAATGATATGTTAGGTAATGAGACGTGAAGATGAGGAGTGGGAAGATGGCAGCTGTGTTGACAGTGTGAAAGTTGACGAGCGGAGATAATGAGTGGGCAGGTGTGAAGGTGAGGTGAGTACTGCGGACCCATGAAAGTGACCAACGTGAGAATTCCCTGCTGTTAACAACACATATTAAAATGGTAACGTGTAAATAATGGTAACGGTCGCTTCGACGTTAGTTCTCCAGCCTGACGTGAAGAACACGCTCTCCCCGCCTGTTGTAAGAGCCGCGATCCATCCTTCCTTATTAATTAACGGGGTGATAAGGGATACATAGCCTCAGTTTCCAAAGTGTTATTATCTTGTAGTGTAGCAGTTCAATGCTAATATAGCCAGTTTTGAAAAATTATTGACCGTGGCTGAACTGCCTTAGACGATAGATAGTTGGTATATTGTTATCAACAGGTAGATGGAGTTGCAACTGGCGTATCCTGGTGCACGGTTCTGTCTCACTATTATCCCGCCTCAGTGAAGACTGTAGTGGTCCTTAATGTACTATTTATGGGCGCCTTGTGGTTTTTTTTTTTTTTGTATATCTACACGAACAATAGGAAAAGCGGACTGTGTAAAGATTTTTTTTTATTTTTTAGTCCTTCGTAGTTCTCTTAGAAGTAAATATATCTTGTTTGTAGCCAGGATGATCCCGAAAGAATCCTTCTGTCTATGGAGAAACACAATGATGGACTCACTGTCTCTCCTGCTACTGATGCCATCGGTGGTGTCCGTCTCTCCTGCACTGAGGACGGTGAACTTGTGGCGCTAGAGCTAAATCTTAAAAGAATAGAGATCCTAAACTCCCCTCGCTTTGTTGTAATATCACAAGTGAAGTCTTCAGTTGATTCAGAATGTTGCTAAAGATACCAGCCTTCCTTAACTTCTACCAATGTTTAAACACTGGAAGGGAAAGAGAGAGGGAAGCTGCTGATGGCGGACTCCCACACTGTGTGGAAATCGAGGTATCTATCCCTTGGTTTATGAAGGTTATCGACGATGACGTCCCCTGGTGAAGGTGACGTTGACGGAATCTTCACGTCGCTGACGATGTTCTCAGTGGCTCTGCAGGTAATCCAGAGCAGCTCCGAGAGCCCAGCTGGGCCGGAACCCGTGGATCTTCTCACACACCTGCAATAAACATAATTTGTAGCTGATGCTGCAATAAGAACGAGTGTAGCGAATAATTAGAGCCCAGGAGGGAGCTCTCACACAACGGAAAGTGATTAGAAAAGCTTGGTAAGGTGGCCCAGGGGACTACCTTTGCATAGGCCATTATTGGAACCCACTTTGGCAACTAGAATCTTCCAAATGAACCATAAAGAGAGGCAATTGTGTCTCGTTATCGCATCGTTAGCTTAAAAATTCTCGTGGTTGAGGCAACGTACGGCTAATATATTATATATATATATATATATATATATATATATTTATTATTTTTTTATTATCACACCGGCCGATTCCCACCAAGGCAGGGTGGCCCGAAAAAGAAAAACTTTCACCATCATTCACTCCATCACTGTCTTGCCAGAAGGGTGCTTTACACTACAGTTTTTAAACTGCAACATTAACACCCCTCCTTCAGAGTGCAGGCACTGTACTTCCCATCTCCAGGACTCAAGTCCGGCCTGCCGGTTTCCCTGAATCCCTTCATAAATGTTACTTTGCTCACACTCCAACAGCACGTCAAGTATTAAAAACCATTTGTCTCCATTCACTCCTATCAAACACGCTCCTATCACACTGGCCGATTCCCACCAAGGCAGGGTGGCTCGAAAAAGAAAAACTTTCACCATCATTCACTCCATCACTGTCTTGCCAGAAGGGTGCTTTACACTACAGTTTTTAAACTGCAACATTAACACCACTCCTTCAGAGTGCAGGCACTGTACTTCCCATCTCCAGGACTCAAGTCCGGCCTGCCGGTTTCCCTGAACCCCTTCATAAATGTTACTTTGCTCACACTCCAACAGCACGTCAAGTATTAAAAACCATTTGTCTCCATTCACTCCTATCAAACACGCTCACGCATGCCTGCTGGAAGTCCAAGCCCCTCGCACACAAAACCTCCTTTACCCCCTCCCTCCAACCTTTCCTAGGCCGACCCCTACCCCGCCTTCCTTCCACTACAGACTGATACACTCTTGAAGTTATTCTGTTTCGCTCCATTCTCTCCACATGTCCGAACCACCTCAACAACCCTTCCTCAGCCCTCTGGACAACAGTTTTGGTAATCCCGCACCTCCTCCTAACTTCCAAACTACGAATTCTCTGCATTATATTCACACCACACATTGCTCTCAGACATGACATCTCCACTGCCTCCAGCCTTCTCCTCGCTGCAACATTCATCACCCATGCTTCACACCCATATAAGAGCGTTGGTAAAACTAGCAATTTCTAGCAATTTTAAAAGATTTATCAATTACGTTTCTTGGGTGAGAAAACATACAGTTTAACTCTATCTTGATGTGAAGAATAACAGAGTACATAGGAACAGTTATTTGTAGGTTTTCTGTAAATCTTAAATTTGAATTCATTATTACCCTTAATAATTAAAACATCTAGAAAAGGCAATGAGTTATTTTCCTCAAACTCAACAGTAAAGTTTATAGAATAGGCTAAGCTATTTAATTTACCAAGGAAATGGTGTATATCTACATTCTTGGGCATAAGACACGAAATATCATCAACATATCTGAACCATTTAGCTCTATTAGGGAGGATTGTGTTAAGCAACCTTGTTTCAAAAAATTCCATGTATAAGTTACTAAGAACAGGTGAAAGAGGATTTCCCATTGCCATACCAAACTTCTGAGTGTAAAACTTATCATTAAATACAAATTTTGCAAAAACATTGCAAAGTTTAATAAGTTTAATGATGGTAGGAACTGGCAATGGTAAATCATAATTAACGAGTTCTTCAGATAAGAAACTTAATAAATCATCAACAGGAACTTTCGTAAACAAGGAAGTAACATCAAACTAACCATGTTAAAATCATTTAAGTCAGTCAAGGAGCTTAATTTATCAGCTAAATCTGTGTTGTTTTTAACATTAAAGTTAGAAGTTTTGCCAACAATAGGACTCAAAATGTCAAAAAACCATTTGGATAATTTATATGAAACTGATCCTATGGAGCTAATAATTGGTCTGACTGGATTCCCTGGTTTGTGTGTTTTTATTAATTCATACATGTAAGTGGTTGTTTTGCATATATATATATATATATATATATATATATATATATATATATATATATATATATATATATATATATATATATATATATATAAAAAATATATATATATATATATATATATATATATATATATATATATATATATATATATATATATATATATATATATATATATAAAGACAAACACAAATATGTTTGTCAACAATTACACATCATCTAACTCCTAAGAAATGAAACGCATGCTAACAGGCATTGCGGCTATGAACAGCAACTCTGGGTCGCTGGAACAGAGAACTAACTTCTCTAGGGACCTAAGGGATGTCTCTCCCTATGGTAAAATAACAGATTTATATTAAGCATCATTTTTCCCTTCCCCCTACCATTATTGCAGCTTCAGGTAGCAGCTCTTTAATACTAACACTATATTATATGTTTACCTCGAAAACTATATTCACAGTCTTTTTATATTGCTGAGTGAGTGTGTGGATGGGGAGAATGGCTTGTCGAGCCCAGGGAAACTACATGGTGACAGCCCTCCTGACACTTCCATTACATGCATGACAAGATTTGAAAATCTAAATAAATCCTAACCTTTCTACTAGACACAGACCACTACACTGACTGGCTGTAGTGAATCTAGATGCTAGAGGGAACATATGCCTTTGATTTCTAAACGGGTGTAGTGCATCTGGATGCTAGATCGAGCGAAGACCTAGGATTTTTAAATTGTGAATTCCTGTGAAAGGAAGTATAGCGTTGTTGATGTATAGAAGTCAAAGCCAGTCTGTGGCTTCTAGCTTATATTTACTCTGATATTATTAAATTAATATTGAACTGTAAATTATGAGAAATTTAAGTAAATCTAAAGAGGTATTAAAAAATTAAAAGAGTACGTATATGAAAATGGTTACGGCAACGAGAGAGAGAGAGAGAGAGAGAGAGAGAGAGAGAGAGAGAGATGGGTAAAGAGGAGTCAGTGAGATAGAGACAAAAGTAGGTAAAGGAGGGAGGAAGTTACGGAGACAGTAGAGAGAGATTATTAAATAACTTACCAGTATCTCTGTGTGGTCGTCCAGGTGCAGACCGTGAGTGAGCAGGGCAGCTACGTACTGGTAATCCAGGCAGGCCAAGGGGTCAGGTAGGTGGGCAGGCTCACGCGAGCACACTGCAAGATAACAGGTCAATCACAGGTCAAGCAGGTGAGCAGGCGAGGACACTACAAGATTGCAGGTCAATCGCAGGGCACAGGTCAGACAAGTGGGGAGAGTCATACAAGCACATTGCAAGATGACAGGTCACATGTCACGCAGGTGAGCAGGCTCATGCCTGCACACTGCAAGATAGCAGACCCATTATAAGTCACAGGTCAGGCATGTGGGCAGGCTCGGGCCAGCACACCACAAGGTCAGTCATAGGTCAGAGGTCGCTTGTGGCGTAACCTCAGCCTGGAGAAAGAGGTCAGTTACAGAGGTCAGAGGTGAACGTCCACTTTAACAAATTAAGAAAGACAAAAAAAATCATTATCAAAAGCACTTTAAAACTAATTTCGGATACCCAAAAAAACCCATCGCATCGAAGGAGACCATAGGCTTTTATTTTTTTTTAACGCAGTGACCGGAATCCTATCAAACTGTGTGCTTTTGGAATACGTAGTGATGGAATATTCAGGAGAGAGGGAGGTATAGGTCAGGAGGAGGTAAAGAAGGACAGGAGGCGAGGCAAGGGAAGTAGTGCATCTGTACACTGAGGGAGAACATCATTGCACGTACATTGATAAACCAAATTTTCCCTGTTGTAGGGTTAAAGTATTGCCGTCTTAATGTACAGCTTTAAATTGTCGATAGTGTTTACATCTAACAAATTATACCAGCTTGAGCTTAAAAAAAAGTAATTTATGTGGCTGGAATAATTCACAAATAACCGGCAGTGGTCTAGCATGGATTAAAATTTCGTCATAAGGTTATATACTCTCTTAAGTATGAGTTATTTGTGAATAACTACCAGCTGGCAGAAGTAGGGCTGGCCAGGGCAGGGGCATGGCTGGGGAGGGTTGGACAGGGGCAGGTTGGGCTGGCCAGGTAAAGGGTGCAGGGGCGAGGAGAGTTGATAAATTAGAAGCAGTATTGATTCCAGTGACTCAACACCTGACTACGATTCTCTAGGTCACCTGATACCAGCTACACATTATTAGGTATCCCTGAAGGGTTACCGTATATATATACATTATATATATATATATATATATATATATATATATATATATATATATATATATATATATATATATATATATATATATATATATATATATATATATATATATATAAGCAGGTGATTTTAAAATATACAAAACAACCACTGTGAAAGAGTAGTGAAATTCCAAGCGCTTTCGTGACTACTCACATTGTCAAGGAACTTTGAAAGTAATACATCAAAGGATGATGTCTTATGCCCAAGAATGTAGATATACACCATTTCCTTGGTAAATTAAATAGCTTAGCCCATTCTATAAACTTTACTGTTGAGTTTGAGGAAAATAACTCATTGCCTTTTCTAGATGTTTTAATTATTAAGAGTAATAATGAATTCAAATTTAAAATTTACAGAAAACCTACAAATAACTGTTCCTGTGTACACTATTATTCTTCCCATCAAGATAAAGTTAAACTGTCTGTTTTCTCATCAATGTTTTTGAGAGCTTTACGTATTTGTAGTCCAGAGTTCATAGATGAAGAAATATTCAAAATTTATGAAATAGCCAATGATCTGAAATACCCGAGAAATGTAATTGATAAATCTTTTAAAATTGCTAGAAATACTTTTTACAATCCAAAAAGGGACAACCAACCTTATTCAACTGAAAATATGTTGGTTCTCCCTTACCATGAAAACTTGGTTGATATGCCTTCTCTTCTTAAGACTTTTAATATTAAAGTTGTATTTAAAAATCTTGATGCAGTAAAAAACTTTTGATAAAGAATTCCCCCCAAAATGCTGATGGATGTGTCTATAAGATTCCTTGTAAAACTTGCGATAAAGTTTATTACGGTCAAACTGGTAAAAGTCTCGAACTTAGATTAAAACAACATAAATATAGCATTAGAACTGGACAAGATTCCAATGCTCTATTTATTCATGTGAGAGATTTTAACCATCCAATTGATTTTCAAAAAGTTGAGAAAGTTGTATCAAGCAAGTCCATGGTCGACAGGAATATAATTGAATCTTGTTTCATAAAAAGCAGTTTTGACAATAATATGAATATTTCCTTTGGTTTATATAAATTAGATCCATTTATAATTAATAGAATTTGGGAAGAATTTAATAATACATTGGACAAATAATAAACCTTATTTCTTGGGTAGAAAATTTTGTAAGTGGGATGTCGTGAGGACCTGTCTAGTTGGACCAGCGGACCTACTGCAGTGTTCCTCTTTTCTTGTGAGTCCGGTATTGTCGCGCGTCAGGTCTTTCTTTTTTGTGGGGGTTGATTGTGAGGTATTACTTTCATAGTTCCTTGACAATGTGAGTAGTCACGAAAGCGCTTGGAATTTCACTACTCTTTCACAAAGGGGTTGTTTTGCATATATATATTTATTATATAATATATATATATCATATATATATAATTATAATATATAATAATAATAATTGAAATAATATATATATTATATATTATGTCGTGCCAAATATTGTAATATGTCATTGCAAGAACTTCATTTAAAATTATGTCCTTTCTGAAATTTTCTCTTATACGTTTAAAGATATATCATGTTTTCTTTTTTTGGGTTGTTGTAAAATATTTATAATTTTGCACAAATGGAGTATCTTAGAAAACTTACCTAACCTATTATAACAAGAAAATTTATTTTAGCTAACCCATATAAATATATATTTTAGATTTTTTAAATAATATTATATGAACATATAAAAGTAAATATATTTTTATTAGTTAGAATGATTTGGCGAAATTATTGCTATATAATATTTCGTTATTATATGCAAATAGTTGCTATATTAATCAAGATCATAGTTCTATATATCGGCACACATAATATATATATATATATATATATATATATATATATATATAAAATATATATATATATATATATATATATATATATATATATATATATCGTACTGAATAGGTAAAACTTGTCAATTAGTAAGAACTCATTTAAATTTAAATTCTTTCTAAAATTTTCTCTTATACGTTAAAAGATATATATTTTTTCATATGTATTAATGAAAAAATAATAATTTTGTACCTAGACCTTATTATAACAAGCACAATTTAATTTAGCCTAATCTAACTAAATATATTTAGATAAGTTTACAGTAATTTAATAATAAGCAAACACAGTAAAATATATTTTTTTCGTTAGGTTCAGAATGATTTTGGCGAAATTATCGCATACACAAATATTCGCTTGTCCTATATGGCAAGATGAGCGTTGCTATTTAAGCCAAGATCGCAAGTTCTGCCTATTCGGCACGACATATATATATATATATATATATATATATATATATATATATATATATATATATATATATATATATATATATATATATATATATATAATATATATATATATATATATATATATATTCCGAAGTTTTCGTTTACAACAGGAGAATGCTTCATCCGATGGGCTTCAAATTTTCATTGCTGGTATACTGTAACTAGGGTAAGGATCATGCAACTATCAGCATGGGCAAGGGCCCTCTCGTCAATTTTGTATACACAATTGCCAGTTTGATTTCCGTGTGATATCTTGATTAAGTCTCTCCTGATCGATGTGTTCAGACCCTCTATCTCAAAATTGATGGACTGAACACATCGACTCAGGCTGAGGGACTGATTACCTCAAACTCCTCTCCCTCACCTTCCACCTTTCTTCTCTGTATTGGACTGAAGAAGCCACTGGCTGGCGGAACGTTTCCACAATAAAGATACCCATGTATACTGCACGATGGGATTAGAACGTTACCCAGAATTAGGAAAAAATTTAATAAATGGGATTTCCATCGCGAATCAGACATTAATGAAGGTGGTACTGAAAACGCTCTTACATCAGGTAGTTATGGTATCAGAGACGAGGAGACGAACCGGCGAGACTGGACCATCTACTCACCCTAGAATGCTTCCTATATGCGATATATAGAAGCCACTACTGAGTGTAGGCTACAGAAACTAGAGGACGTGATTTACGTCAAAGTCAGTGACTTATAAAGTAAAAAACCCGGTGATTTACATAACCACAAGAAGATGAGATGATTTTTGCTGGAGAGTTGGGGTTGTAGTGGATAATTGGTGGTTGTGGTGGGTATTGGTGGTTGTGGTGGGTATTGGTGGTTGTGGTGGGTATTGGTGGTTGTGGTGGATATTGGTGGTTGTGGTGGGTATTGCTGGTTGTGGTGGGTATTGGTGGTTGTGGTGGGTATTGGTGGTTGTGGTGGGTATTGGTGGTTGTGGTGGGTAATTGGTGGTATTGGTGGTTTTGGTGGTATTGGTGGTTGTGGTGGGTATTGGTGGGTATTGGTGGTTGTGGTGGTATTGTGGTTGTGGTGGGTATTGGTGGTTGTGGTGGGTATTGGTGGTTGTGGTGGGTAAATTGGTGGTTGTGTTGGATATTGGTGGTTGTGGTGGGTATTGGTGGTTGTGGTGGGTATTGGTGGTTGTGGTGGTATTGGTGGTTTGTGGGTGGGTATTGGGGTTGTGGTGGGTAATTGGTGGTTGTGGTGGGTATTGTGGTTGTGGTGGATATTGGTGGTTGTGGTGGATATTGGTGTTGTGGTGTATTGGTGGTTGTGTGGGTATTGGTGGTTGGTGGTGATATTGGTGGTTGTGTGGTAATTGGTGGTTGTGAGTGGGTAATTGGTGGTTGTGTGAGGTATTGGTAGGTTGTGGTGGTATTGGTGGTTGTGGTGTTGGATTTGTGGTTGTGGTGGGTATTGGTGGTTGTGGTGAATATTGGTGGTTGTAGCGGGTAATTGGTGGTTGTGGTGGGTATTGGTAGTTGTGGTGGGTATTGGTGGTTGGTTGGATATTGGTGGTTGTGGGTAGTGGTTTTGGTGGGGTTTGTGGTGGTATTGGTGGTTTGGTGGGATATGGTAGTTGTGGTGGGTATTGGTGGTTGTGGTGGGCATCGGTGGTTGTGGTGGGTATTTGGTTGTGGTGGATATTGGTGGTTGTGGTGATATTGGGGTTGTGGTGGATATTGGTGGTTGTGGTGGGTATTGGTGGTTGTGTTGATATTGGTGGTTGTAGCGGGTTATTGGTGGTTGTGGTGGTATTGGTGGTTGTGGTGGATATTGGTAGTTTGTGTGGGTATTGGTGGTTGTGTTGGATATTGGTGGTTTGTGGTGGTATTGTGTGGTTGATGGTGGATATTGGTAGTTGTGGTGGGTATTGGTGGTTGTGGTGGGCATCGGTGGTTGTGGTGGGTATTGGTGGTTATGGTGGGTATGGTGGTTGTGGTGGGTATTGGTGGTTGTGGTGGGCATCGGTGGTTGTGGTGGGTATTGGTGGTTATGGTGGGTATTGGTGGTTGTGGTGGGTATTGGTGGTTGTGGTGGGCATCGGTGGTTGTGGTGGTATTGGTGGTTGTGGTGGATATTGGTGGTTGTGGTGGATATTGGTGGTTGTGGTGGCATCAGGTGTTGTGGTGGGTATTGGTGGTTATGTGGGTATTGGTGGTTGTAGTGGGTATTGGTGGTTGTTGGTGGGATTGTGGATGTGGTGGTATTGGTAGTTGTAGTGGATATTGGTGGTTGTAGTGGGTATTGGTGATTGTGGTGGGCATTGGTGGTTATGTTGGTTATTGATGGTTGTAGTGGGTAATTGGTTGTTGTAGTGGGTATTGGTGGTTGTGGTGGGTATTGGTGGTTGTGGTGGGTATTGGTGGTTGCGGTGAGTATTTGTGGTTGTGTGGTGGGTATTGGTGGTTGTGGTGGGTATTGGTGATTGTGGTGAGTATTTGTGGTTGTGGTGGGTATTGGTGGTTGTGGTCGGTATTGGTTGTTGTAGTGGGTAATTGGTTGTTGTGGTGGATAATTATGATTGAAGCGTTGGTTGTGATGGATAATGATGGTTGTGATTGATAATGATGGTTGCAGTGTTAGTTGTGATTGATAATGATGGTTGCAGTGTTAGTTGTGATTGATAATGATGGTTGCAGTGTTAGTTGTGATTGATAATGATGGTTGCAGTGTTGGTTGTGATTGATAATGATGGTTGCAGTGTTGGTTGTGATTGATAATGATGGTTGCAGTGTTAGTTGTGATTGATAATGATGGTTGCAGTGTTAGTTGTGATTGATAATGATGGTTGCAGTGTTCGTTGTGATTGATAATGATGGTTGCAGTGTTAGTTGTGATTGATAATGATGGTTGCAGTGTTAGTTGTGATTGATAATGATGGTTGCAGTGTTTGTTGTGATGGATAATGATGGTTGCAGTGTTAGTTGTGATTGATAATGATGGTTGCAGTGTTCGTTGTGATTGATAATGATGGTTGCAGTGTTAGTTGTGATTGATAATGATGGTTGCAGTGTTAGTTGTGATTGATAATGATGGTTGCAGTGTTAGTTGTGATTGATAATGATGGTTGCAGTGTTGGTTGTGATGGATAATGATGGTTGCAGTGTTAGTTGTGATTGATAATGATGGTTGCAGTGTTCGTTGTGATTGATAATGATGGTTGCAGTGTTAGTTGTGATTGATAATGATGGTTGCAGTGTTAGTTGTGATTGATAATGATGGTTGCAGTGTTCGTTGTGATGGATAATGATGGTTGCAGTGTTCATTGTGATTGATAATAATGGTTGCAGTGTTCGTTGTGATTGATAATGATGGTTGCAGTGTTCGTTGTGATTGATAATGATGGTTGCAGTGTTTGTTGTGATTGATAATGATGGTTGCAGTGTTCGTTGTGATTGATAATGATGGTTGCAGTGTTCGTTGTGATGGATAATGATGGTTGCAGTGTTGGTTGCAGGAATAAAGATCTGGCTGTATAAATGGGGATGGTAGTAGTAATAAAAGCAACAGCTAACGTATTTAGTATGGCAGTTTTAATGGTAATGGCGGCCGGAATCATGGCGGCAGCATCGACAATTGGGGTAATGTAAGCAGACGTTGTTATGATACCTGCATATGCAGAGCTGGCCCTCAGGGTGGTGATATACATGTATACTCATGTATTTGTGTGTATATGTACTGTATAGACTGCGTATGTGTGTGTGTGCGTATATTTGAGCAGTCATGACAGTAATGTGGAAGTTAGTATGGAAGTTGATGATTGATGTTAATGTATTTGTCTCTGTATGTAACAAAAGATCAAAAATATATAAGCAGAACAGCGTTTCCTCAGCTTTAGAAAGCTTGAAAAAAATAAAGCTCTACAAAGGGCAAAACGTCGTCCCAGTGAATTCTCCTCAACACAATTCTTGACGAGCACTGGGGAAAACTTACTTGTGTTGGCTGCCGCGCGGAACTGCTCCACCCGCACGAAGCCGTAAGCCATGTTTGGTT